CATGTCCATATTCCCAAGGCCAAGAGAGTGAAGAAATTATGTCCAATTCTAAAATTGACAGTTCCAGGTGTCCTGGTTCTCATCCAAATGATTGCCAAGTGCTTTCAGTTTCGGAATATACAAATACACCATTGCTTTCGGATGGTGCACAGGTATTGGAACGTGGAAATGCTCAATCAGGTGAACCTTGTTTAGCTTCAATATGTCTATTCTGTGACATCATAAATTGTAAATCTGTTCAATTTAGAAAATGTAAGTTAGTTCTCTGGATGATGAATGCATTAATGCCTTTCATATTCCACTGATGAGCATGATTGTTGATGTAGAATATAATTACCAAGCAAGTTCTGGATTTCACTTTGTTCTTGACTTACAACAACTTGCTGCAGAACAGATTCATGCTGAAGGTTCTGATCCAAAACTTCCTCTATTTTATTCAAGTAACATAGCTATTTATGTTATTTTATTATTTTCAATTAAATTTTGCTTTTTTAGTTTTCACTAATTCTTAATGCTTTTTTCTCTGAACAGATAGTTTTTGCGAAAGTTTGCCAATCATTTTTGGTATAGAATCAGACCCCTTTCAACTAAACAGGAGCAATAGTGATATGCATGCTGAACTAGCACAACCAACAGATGACTGCTTCTGGACTTCCCATGAGTATACAGCATGTAAAGATGACGGGAAGTGTTTTACTCCTTGTGAATCCATGGAGCTTGAATCATTGTCTTCCTTTGGGTGGCATTCACAGATTCAAGAAAAATCAAAGGTACTGACTGATTAACGTTGCTAAAGTTTGATGCTTCAAATCACAGTATATATCTAGCATTTGGCTTTGAGTTTAATTATTTCCAGTCTTTAATTTGAATTCCAAACAGGCTTCAGTTGAGGGTTCTTCATCTTTATCAGAATCAGCATGTGATGCGACTTCTAAATTTCATGAACAAGAAGTTAATCACCTTGAACTCATGGATTCTGTTGACCCTCAGCAGAAACGTCCAGATTTAAGAAATAATAATTCAAAGGAAAATCACTTTCAAAAATCATTATCAAATGAAAAAGACGGTT